TGTATATGTATGTATGTACATGTATGTATGTATGTATGTATGTATGTATGTATGTATGTATGTCTCGTTTCATTCACACATACTGTCTAGAGAGAGAGAGAGAGAGAGATATATATATATAGAGATAGATAGATAGATAGAGATCAGAAGGAGCTGCCATGCTGCGACATCTACCGGCCGCCTGGAACTGCGAAAGACTGGCTCTTCCGCGGAAGTCCTTAGCGAAGAGGGAACGGCGCGATCTGCTTCAAATTTAATACTCAGAGAATGTCTCCAAAGACACAGAAGCAACACAGGCTTTGGGATGTTGCATCACGTGTACTGATCGGTACAGCATGTGAGACTATATGCTTAAAGGCATGTCGTGCGACTGCGCTGTGAAGCGTTTTGACCGTCCTCCTCTGACGATTCCCTCTTGCAGCTCATGCACCCGGCAGAGAGTAACGCAGCTGCGCATCTTTGGCGAGATCAAACCTGCGGATCATTCTGAACATTGACCCCTGCTAAAAGTTCAAGAAGGACGGCACGAATTAGGTACTCGGGTTAGTTGTGAGCATACAGTGATTGCAACAGTCGGCAGAAGAGAGTTGACCTCAAGAATTGAATTTTGGGAAGCTGCCAAACTCAAATCTAGCAGGACGCAGTCCGAGGCACTTAAACCAATGAAGGCATGTCAAGCAACTGTGGCCGCATGGGCGGAACGTGCACGTTGGCAAGTTGCGACATGAACATCGCGGTCCTCGAAGGCTTGATCTCAGCATATCTCAGCCAATTAGACTCCGTGAGCTGCGACAAATCAACTTCGAGCTCCTTGGCTGCCCTGTGGGCGGCACTGCATTTGTGCCGGGTCCAGCCTGGTCCTGAGCATCAAGAGCGCCTTGTCCAGCTCTGCGATGTCACAGTGCTACTCTCGTCATGTAAACCGATATAGTTGAATACTTGTGCAGGCCAATGCAGCTGCAGCCTAGATGCAAAGTCCGCAAGCTCGGGAAAGACTGGCGCTGCAGAGCCACATGGATGTGTGAGTGCACGATGGCTGGTCGCCTGCCACAGACAATTCTACCGGACAATTGGATAAGACTGGCAGCTGCAACAGGCATGCGAAGTGCACAGAGTATTCTACCTTCGTCGCTGACTTGGCTGGTTTCGAGCTTCTGAAGCACCTAGCGATGGCCTGCAACCAGCCCCTGCCCGGAGTGCCGAATGCACGAACTGCAGACAGATGCACCGACAATGAGGGTCCGGGCCAGTTAAGAATCAGTGTTGGCACCTAGCTCGGCTGACTTGTTTGGGCCTCCCAGGTGGATCGGCTGAGGACCTCTGGTGCCACCGGAGACGGTGCCAGGGCCCGCTTAGCTGCAGACCTCTGCTCATGGGATGGGGAGACCCTGCAACAATCCACTAGCCGTAATCTCTCCCTCGAAACAAATCACGTCACCAAAAGGCTTGATAGCATCTGTTGCAGAATCAGCCAGCGATGTCCTCGGCGAGCACAGCACGGCAAGCTGGGCAAGAGGCATTGGATTAGAAGCTTAAAGGAGCTATGAGCACAGAGCACAGCTCTGGCTCCCGAACCGGAGCGAGGAAAGAAGATGCATGTGAAGCCAGGCCAAACTGCATGCCAACTCTGTCATCCTCCACAATTCGAGGAGTTCACCCAAGTGCAAGGACCGACTCATTTGGTTTATAACGTAATCAATGTTTATTCTGAATTATTTCATGAGCTACGTAACTGGGAGGCAAATCCGTCTGCATGCTTTTGTTGCTTAGAATTTTCTGTAACATCTCATACCTTCGTGCTGTTTGGGGCACACATGCGGCTCCGCGAGCTCCGCCGCTCTGCGCAGTGACAGTGCCAGGAAGCGGGCAGCTTCCTGCGAGCCGGACCAAGCTGCCTCCGGCTCGGGGAGACTCTCCGGTAACCGAGGTGAAGCTGGATGAAGACATTGCAGTGTGACGACCAAAGAGAAGACTAGCAAATTTCTTTCTTGAAGCTCTAGAGATACCTGTCCCATCTTGGCCGAGAGGTTCAGAAAGTCGTCGGAATCCTGAGAAGCTAGGGCTTCCTCTTGGTGCTACAATGACTTCGATGTTGAGCAGAGGAGAGTTCCAAGCAACCACCAGGCGTCGGCCACTGCTTGGGATCTGCACCAAATAAATAGAAGTAAAGACCAAGCCATAAATGCATCCCAACACTCAAAAGCAGAGCAACGGTAGCTTTTACTTGTGATCGCAAGCAGATCCGAAAGAAGCCTGAATCAGGCTGCGACCCCAAAGCGTAGAACAGCTTCGTCAAAGCCACCCATTCTGGAAGCGCAGGTGCTGCAGTGCAGCAATCCAGCCGCTTTCGTGGCGTCGAGTGCGCTGAGCCCTCTTCTTCCGAGACATTGCCCTGAGGACTGGGACTTTGTTAACTTTCAACTGAATTTGTTGAGTGCAAACTAGAAGCACTTGAAATCTATCAACTAATTTTAGGCTCGCATCAATTCTTTCCATGACTGATGATAGTGAGGCGGTGAGGCTGTAGCTAACGAGTGGAACTGCCCTGGCAAGCCTGCTTTCCAGCAGAATCGAATGCAGTGATGAAACCCTATGACACTTGTGGTTGATACAGTAGATGTCATTGCGCGAGTGACTCGTGGAAAGGTTTGAAGCCTGGCTTTATCTGGATCATTGGCTATCGTGCAGCCGGCTCGCTGTCGTGAGGGCCACCGTGGAGTTCTCCACCTCTTCAACATCCTCTGCAGCCAGGCTTCACAAGGCCAAAGGTGCATAGAAGTGATCACAATATGGAAACGTGTAATACATCTATAGGAGGCGGGCCAGCATGTGAAGTCGCTGCAGTCGCGCAGCAAACGTTTGAAGTAATCGCCGGGTTCAAACCCAGGCTACAATGATTAAAGCAAGTGGATATGTTGCAGCCTTCATTGGTACAGCGGTGTCACAACTGCCTCCTCTTTCTCTTCCTTGTCCATCTTCTGAGTAGCGCCGGGTACTGCCGCGCAGGCCTCGACCGCCACTCAGCGAGTGCGCGGTACACACACACACACACGCACACACACACACACGCACACAGTAGACCTTGGGCACCAAACTGCAAGAGTAGCCATGCCACTACGACATGGAGCAAGTGTGCCGGGTTTGAGCAGAAACATACCAAGACTATCCAACACTGACCCAGGTCGCAACGGAACAAGGCTGCATGCTCAAAGGCACGTGCCTATGCAACTGCACCCAAAACAAGATCGACGTGCCCAAATCACGCAAGTTCTTAGAGGGCCTTGGAGGTCAACAGCGTTGGCCCGCCCAAGGTCTGCGACTCCTTGGTTGCACGGGCAGATGAAGCTCCGACCGGACTCCGACCTGTTCTCGAGATTTAAAGTGCAGCTCACAACGCAATGTCAACTTCAGAACAGGCACGTTGCTCGTGCCAGATGCAGTCCTGGAGATGAGAGCCGGAGACTCTGTGCGCGGGACCTGAGCTGGAGCCCAGAGCTGGAACCCCTACGAAACGGCTAAAATCTAAACCTCAAAAAGCATGACACTTCCATGCAAGCCAGGTGAGTTCGCTTGCAATGGTTGTTAGGAGTTCCTATTTTCTGGCTTCCTTCGCCCACCCAAATGGCATCCCAAAGATGTTGGCATTGGAAGGCTTGGGCTGCCGGGCCAACATCTCCGAGATCTCGGAAATCTAAGCAGAAAAAAATTAAAGCACCTCAAAATGCCCGGGAAACTAGCGTGATTCAGCCAGCACGCCTCGGCTCTGGACCCTTCCTCTGGCATGGCCTGCGCCAGTGGCAACACTGGGCACTACGTCAATAGAGTCTATAATAACATTCTATAGTACTTTAAGCACACGCTGGGCATGCAGTCAGTCATGTTTCGTGGCGCTCTGCCTGCAGATCTCTGCATGCTTTCCAAGGGCTTTGACCCCATGTCAGCCGCTCGCCTCGTCAAGTCTGGCGACCTGGTCGTCGGTGGTGTCGGCAATGCGTGGCTTTTGAAGTCCCGCAAGGCACCCTCGCAGTCCTCGAGCTGTTGGGATTCAAACGGTTGACCTTCTTGTGCTTGCTTGCTTTTGCCTTGACGGGCCTTGGAACTGAGCAGCACATCCATTGGCACAGGTGGTCGCCATTGCTCTCCAACGGGATCGAACAGATTCGGATTGGACTCGGGCCTGACAGCTTTGCTATCCTCGGTATGAGCCAGTAGCCGCGGCAAAGCAACATGAAAGGTGCAGCGGCTTACAGATGTCCATGTCCAAGGGCTGGCAGCCACTGAGTCTGCTCAGCATGGGGATTCCTTAAGATGCTTCCTTGACAACACAACCAGCCGAAATGAGCAGAATCCCACTTTCACAGCTGCGGAAGCAAGTGCAAGTGTATGCAGCCGGCACGACGCGAAAGAAGCGTACGGCACGTTGTAGAAACTCAGTCTCCAAGAGCTGTGCTCTGCTTGTTGTCATCTTCGTCACTCTCCAGCGATGTTGGCATCGTGATCTTGCCGCCATGCACAGGTCAGAATTATGCGGAAGTAGATATCCAGGAATCCAGGAAAAAGCTGCGATTGACACCCTGCTTTAAGTCTCTCCAGCTGCATCCCTTTGACACATACATGAAGATGAGAGGCTTCACCTTCCACCTCGCCGATCTGGATCCGAGCCACGATGCCACGACCAGATTGATAAGCCATCATGCTCCAACCGGCTGTTATGGTCTTGAACTAGGGACATCTGATTTGGATGTGTATCCAACAAGAGTCTCAATCGCCGCGTGGTTGGCAAAGTCGGGCAGTCTCTGTGCACAACAAGCAAGGTGCAATGTGCCATATAGAAGCCGGCTGCCTGCTCATGTGACTTTACGACGGCCACCTCATGTACTCTCAGGTCTTAGGTGGCCGTGGCAGAACCTCATGGCGTCCTTCAACTCCTCCAGAAGCAAACTCATTAAAAGTCCGGGAGGTGCTGGAGTCGTTTGCCTCTGTTGCTCGTAGCTGCGCCAATACCGAAAGCTGCGCTGGGCCAACGCGCAGCACCGCCTGCCCAAGCCGAAGCATGATATTTTACTGTCGAGTTAAGTAGAAAGAGTTGAATGTCACCAGGCAGCCCTCGTCTGCTGAGGAGCAGCTGGAAGCTGCGACAGAAAACGTGCTAGACCTGAAGTTCTGAAGATGACCTGCACCACATGTCGCCTTCGAAGTGTTCGCTGATGCATGAATGAGGCGATAGACAGGGAAGTCCACTTCGCCCACCTTGGTTTAAGCCGGCCCGCTTTAAAGGAGACATCAAAAGTGCTGCATGAGGACGTTTTGCAGCCGCCACAAAAACTGCGCTGCTGTCTCGCCGATGCTGATCTGCCACAGCTTCCACAGGTTCTGTGTTAATCATCCTTCAACAAGGAAGAGTTTACGGAAGTTCTTCCAAGACGACGCGCGTAAGTACATCTCACAGCTCAGCTTTGGCTTTAGTTGGCCCAGGCGCAACATTCCCGACACCTGGCAATCCTCCACGCTTCTCCAGTTTGATGTGGCACACGACGCTGCGGGGATCCTTGGCTGCACCGTGCTGTAACCCGGCTATTGTTGCTCCATTTTCCAACGACAGCTGAGGAGTAAACACCAACCTTACCTGCGCCTGCCCTCTTTCGGGCATCCTCTGCGGAAAACCCCCAGGCGGTGAACAGGTCTCTGTTCACGGCACTGCTCACAAAATAACTGTTGCCCCCGAATCTGGAACGAGTGACTGCGATGCACGCCTAAGCTAATCAGCACAGGAAGGTTGACCTGTCCGCCCGGGCAAATACAAGGCATTTCAAGCTTGGACCGGGGAGCTGCACAGGAATCCAGCCGCCTCAAATCGCAGTTTACACCAAAAGCACTGGCCACTGCCATCAGCATAGTGAGTCCAGAAATGGGTGGGGGAGAGCAGCTGAGACTCCCTCACCAACTCAGCCCGAGCAACCTTCCTGGGCCCACAAGGTTTTCTCACTATCGTCGCTCCACCAACATGTTTGTTTCGAGGCCGATCTGCGTCTGTGTGTCTGTGTGGGGCTCGATGTTTCATTAGCAAGTCGGATCCACCACAGATAATGCTCTGTGGACGCGAATCTGCGTTCTTAACTGATCTTACACAAAGCAATGCGCATGATCACAAGGTTTCCCACTTGCAGCCCCTGATAAGCAGCCTGGTAAGCATTGCCAACTCAAACTGAAATAACTCCACGATGAAGCCTAGACTCTGCAAGCAGCATGTGGGTGAAAGTCGACTGAAAGTGGGCAGTTAGACAATCCTCATCTTCCTGTGCAGGGCACTGATCGCCGCCTCTCCACTCCACTCTGCCCCTGCATGTTGAAAGCTCGGATTCCCACAGCGTGAGCAAAACAAGTCAATCCGGAGCGGTTCCAGCCGCTCCACGTGCCTCCGCGCCAGCTGGTGACGGGGCACTGAGACCTTGCTACTACACGAAGCCAGCTGATGAATGCAAAAAAAGGCTCTCAGCGAATCAGCGAACCGAATTCTTTCATCCCGATGTCGAGTGCAAGCAAATAGATGTGATCATTATCTCTGCTGCTTTGGAGCTTGATTGTTCAGAGTCCAGACGCCACCAAGCCGTGGCCCCATAGCCTCGTCGAACCAGTCTTCAAAAGAGCATACACGAGGTGTTTCTAAGTTGCAACCTGAGAGGCGTCCCTGTTTGCGGCCAGTCCGGCTTCGGAAAGCTTGCTCGTGCTCCTGTCCGCTTCGAAAACGAGGTGCGCTGACAGCACAGAAGCTATGCGAGGCAAGCAGAAGTGTGCATTCTTCTTGTAGGCAAACGATGGAGAAGCTTCAAGTACAAAGCTCGGATGCACAGTCTGGAAGAAGCCTCACCATGCCACCAACACGGGTCGAAGCAGCACCCGTGACGAAAACGGATCTTGCGTGGAAGGAGTTTAACAATTTGACAAACTGCTGCTTGTTTGTGAAATGCGCTGCCAACTTGCAGAGGCAGAAAATTCACCACTCTCTTCAACCTTCACCCCCACCATGGCATACCTTGGCATGGATCCTCGCGTCCCTCAAAGACATGAGTTCGCGATGCCTGCCTCGCAAGTGACTTTGCAAAGGAACGAGCCACGCTTCTTGGCATCCTCCTCCTCCAGTGTCGAAGCGGGACGCATTCAACAAAACTCAACAACCAGCAGCTACAGAACTGCTTCCTTTTGTCAGGAACATCGATTGGCAGTGTTTTCGTGACTTGCTCTACCAGTAGATAGAGTCTCTCTTTCGCAGTGACACCATGTCGAGAGCAGAAACGAACCGCACTGAGATCTTGAAGCAAGCATCAACAGGCTCGTCTGGAAATGTGCAGCAATCGATTCCGACCTTGGACGTGCCGGTGTGTAGAGGCATTGAGGCATGACTGACCCTTACGGCTAAGATCGGATAGGTAATGGGTGCAAGCTGCATGTTTTCGCATGCCAAGATGCCAGAACAACGAACGCAGCAGCCTGAGGTAGCCTCGGTCGCTGTGCTTGGAGGGCAGAAGGGCCCTGTGACAGATGAAATAACCCGCCTCGACGTCTCAACAACCATGCAACCCCAGGAGAACAAAACAGCAACTACATTGACCACATACAGGGCAGCCAATGCACCCAGCCGACATGCCAGATTTGTACTTAGGAGCCCCCAAAAAGCACATAAGCAACATTAGGATAGGGATATCCCCACATCCCATATAAATCCCCTTTATAATGAAGCCTAATAAGGTATTGATATTTCTATAAAATGCTTATGCTTTTGTCCTTTCGGGGTCCCCAAGAGTACTAAACATGCGAATGGACACGGCTGATGCACCATGTGCAATTTTGATTCATGCGCGACACCCACCATCACCTGATAACTTTGCAACTGCTATCCAGTCACGTACCATCCAGTGCTCTCAACTGGTGGCGCAGATTGAAATCCTAAGCTGTGCCGAAGCACACACACACACACACAGAAACACATACACACGATGTAACGATACCCGCGAGTCCTCGCAGCCTGTTGCAGGCCATCAAAAGAGAACTGATAAAACTCAGTCAGCAGCCCTGAAAAATCCGAAAATACTTAGCATGCACAGGGAGTGAATCTGGCAACTGCTCTGCATGCTCAACCATAGGAAACCACTTTTTTCAGAACAGTCTCGTCCAATTTCAGCTCCTTAGCGCAACTTCGACGAACATGTTGTCACCTTTTGCGGTGAGAGCCTTCTCGGATGTTGTCAGATGGTTCAGCTTGCAGCACGGGGCTCGGCATATCCTGTAGAGAGTCGAAGCGTTCCTGACACTCCGACAAAGAGGCGCTGCGGCTCTCGTGGGGCGCGCAAGCAGGCACAAATCGAGCCTTGTGCACCCGGGCCCGTCAGCTCCAACTCGCGACCGTCTGCCTTTTTGCCAGGCGTGTCTTCGTGTGTTCCAAAAAGGGGCGCATTTAGGCACAACTGGAGTTGCATCTGGGGCGGCCTTCATACGGAGAGCATCGATGACATAGTAGCATAAGATTGGCACAAACTGAGTGCCTACCTAAACGAGACATCTTCACGGAAACAGGTAGGATGCCCCAAATCCAACACGGCACCGTGTCCAAGAGTGATTAGATGACCATGGCTGTTAGGCCTTGTCACGATCTATATTCTATAGTGTTACTGAAAGATGTCGGTTCGGGTTCCGGTGAAGGCTGTGGGTTTGCAGCCTTCTAAGTTACATGTGCAGCGAACAACAGTTTGCACATCAAAGATGCAGCCGCCATCGCGGAATCAAACAGCCAAACTATCTGATGTATCCCGTGGAATACAATATGACAATCTGCGAGCTTTAGATTTTTGAAAGCAGGTTTGTTGTATAGCGGTTGTCCCACTCCGGCTCAGCAAAGACCCGAAGCAGTGTACCCCAAAGCATAACCACGCACAGGATTCCGGATCGATTCGACCTCTCTGGTAGCCTAGCTGGGGAGGGGTCTAGTCAAGATCGACCCCCTTCTCGACTTCATCGTGCAACTAGACACACTAACAATCACTAACACCTTCCAGAAAGCTGCCATGCTTTTTGCGGATTTGCGGGTGAAACAAGTCCTTGGCACTACCGACCCTTGCAGCACGCGGGGACCTTCTCGGCCCTCATGTCTTCTCTGGCAGTTAGAAGATCTGCCCACTGTCCGCGCAACAGCTCAATCTCATGCTGCAGGTTGGCCGGCATGTCCTTCGTTTGCGTGCACCCCCTGTGCCTACACTAACCTATGCATACAGTTTCTGCTTGCGACCCATACGGTCATGTATGCATATCTTACATCTACTTATAGATCTTATGACAATGTGCTAGAGGAGCAAGCTTCGGAAAGCAGCAGCTTGAGCTCCTTCCACGCTGCTTCAGCCAACCGCGCTTGGCTCGAGTGCGGGTCAGGACCGGCCTGCTCGGCGCAAGCGCCTTCTACCAATACCTTTTGCCACATGTTGAGGTCAATCGCCATCACGTTGGCAGCAGTGAATACAGCACCTTTCAAGGTCTCGCACGCTCCCTCCGGGCAGACTGGCATGCACGAGTTGAGGCAACGGGTACCCAAAGCTTTGTCAAGCTTTTCCACGACTTCAGCTAAGGCTTGATGAGCCTCGAAGCAAGCTTTGCGCTTTGCCGCACATGGCTCTTCTGTAGAGGCATCGAATACCTTGCAGGCAACCTCCAAGGGCATTGCCGAGGAGTCGATGAAGCGCAGCGCCTCAGCTGCCCGTGAGGACTGGCAGCGCGGCATGCCACGCCGTTGCAGCCGAGGCACACGCTTCAGAATCTCTGCCGCCACTCCCTCTTCCGGCAAAGGCTCGGAAAGCAACGCGCGTGAAAAGGATTGCAGCACGCCAACCATTGTCCAGCAGTCCGTCACGGCTTCTTCAGAATCAGTTTTCCACACGAGCTGAAGGCAAGACTCCTTCAGTGCCTGAAGGGGCAAGCTTCCGCCTCGAAACCCAAGCCACCAATTGAATCAGCCCCCCCCCACCAGTTTCTCTTTCCTTCCTTCATCTTTGACTTGCAGGGGGCCTACGCAAGTTGTGGTTCAATTTTCTGAAGCTATGCCAATGCACTCTGTTTTAAATTCTCGTGGAATGGTGCGAGGGGCCCTTCTTGACTGGAACATACATCTTGAGGCAATCTTCAGGCGAACATGCTGAGCAAACTTGGGCTTTGTCAACGATGCAGATCCTCTGAACATTAGCAATCGCTTCGTTTGGGCGCCAATTGCAATCCACAAAGTGAGAAAGCCGAGCCTCCTTAGAGCGCAGCACCATGAAGCCCCGGCTTCGCCCAGTCTCTGCATCGGTCCTCTGCATTGCTTCCCAAAGCAGCGACATTGGCACCCAGTGTGGAGGATACCTGGAACGATTTGGGCGAATGTGCGGGGCCGGCTTAGCTGGTGCCCTCGTCAGCGGGGTTGAACAGCTTCTGTTTTGACAGGTTGTGGACTGAGTCCTAGCAAGGTTTTTTTTTGTAGGTGGCTCCCCAAAAAGCTGCTCTAGAGCTGGCTGTGTCGCTTAAACCTGGCCACGTCGAGGATCAAGACCTGATCACTGGCACGGTGGTAACCTCCGATTGGAGAGTAATGGCCATCACCCGTCTGGCCCAGTAGCTTCCGACTGTAGGAAACAACCACCACCTCAAATAAGCAAACCAAGTCATGATTCAGTGCCCGTATTTCATGTCGCACAGGACTCCTGCCATTGCCTACGAACGTTTGCTGGTTGCAACTGCGACACACCGGAGCAACCACATCCAGGATCCGTTTCGCAGCTGGCAGTCACTGCTTTCCTGCTTTATTATATACCACCAGTGGACCAAAGTCACACTTAGCGACTTGACACCGTAACATGCCGGGGTGAAGCGAGGCCATGCATGCAACGAAGACAAAGTCTTGATGCGTTGAAAAGCACATCACCGAGTCTGAGCCACGAGCCTGAAGTCCTCCTCGGTCACGTCTGCCTCGTCCACCCGGTGTGCGTCCACTTGGGCTCCGTTGCACCGAGCGAGACACACCACCTGCGCGGGCAGATCATCTAAGGAATCGGTGATTTCTTCCCCCAAGTACTAGTCCCAATCCGCAGCAGCTCAGCCTTACCAAAAGTAACACCCTTCTCCTTCACGACCTCCAGCGGTTCACAGCAGTCCAGGAGGTCTTCACCTGAACGTGCCCGATCTGAAACAGCTTGGCTTCGAAAAGAGGCGCCTAAGGGTCAGTACGGCCAGGGTCGGCTTTCGGCTGTGGCTTGGCCAAGTGACTGAACCACCTCCACGGCCCCTTCCACTTCCGGCCAGGATCCACACCAAGGGCATTCAGGACCATGGCCAGCGTGCCTGCAACGAGCTCCGGGCTCCTGCATGCCCCTGGTTGCAGCTGCGACTCTGCCCCCGGCACAGCCACGCACCCGCCAAGGTTTGCAAGCACGCGGCCCACTGGCCCACTCCCCTCCATCCCGGAGATTGGGCTCCCAGGCCGAGGCCACAGTATGCGGGCTCCGCTTGGGTGTGGAACTGCTCGATGAGTCGGAAGAAGCAGCCCATACCTCCTCAAAGCTCAAGGACTCAAGGCTTAGTTCAGCAAAAGGTCTTGCCTTGCTACTTGCATTGCGCTATATTGCGTTTTCCTTGCACCATCCAACATCAGCTAAGTGCAGGTCCTGCTGCCAGGGCTTCAGTGAAGAGCACCTGGGCAGTATTCAGTAGCAGCCGTGCGGTGCACTCTACCAGATAGTGCAACTTCGTGGACCTGACCCTGCGACGAGGAGAAGGCGATCGCTGGCTCTGGGAGTGGGCGCCGATGGAAGGTCCTGGAAGATTTGAGACTTGGGGTGATGCTCAACAGTCTTCCGACTACGTCTTGGCAAAAACACCTGACGACAGCTACAGTAGCACTCCTCGACGACACCTGGCGCTGATGGCTTGGCAGTGTGATTTACAAGATGCATGACCCGACGGCCCTTCTCAGCTGGTAGCTTGTTTGGGGCCTTGGGGCCATGCAACAGATTCGCACGACCGCAGCTGGGCTGTTGAAGCCGAGCATGTGCAACTTACTTTGCATCTGCCGCGCTTGCTGAGAGCAGTCCTCGCAGTAGGGCTAGTTGGAGCGGCGGCCATGACATTCAACAGTGGCCCTGTGCAGTGAGAGAATGAAGCTGGGCAGGCCGATCCCCAAAGGCCAAAAGGGCTACTGCTTATATTGATTGCCCTACGGCATTGGCTCCACTTGCGCCCATGCTCACTGGTCTCGGCTCTCTCGACATATCTTTCAGCTAACTGTGGCCAGGCTTTTAACACGTTACGCTAAACGCTGCCGCGCTCCTGACACCAGGATGCACCAGAGTAACAGCAGTGCTGCCGAAACAAAGGAGGCTAATGGCCTTTCCTTGGGTAGCCTTCGAGCCGCCATGCTGCAGGACATCTTGCAGTTGTGGTGACATGGTGGGGTATGGCTTGGCACGGAACAAACGGAAGCCTTCACCACATCAGAGGCGGCAGAGCAAACCGAACCTGAGCGGAGTGGGACAAAGTCCAGGTCGGACCTCCCCTGGTAAGGCTTGCGGGACCGGGGGGCTCAAGTTGCGAAGACCACATGCAGCCAAGCTTCCAAGGAATGTATCCTGCAGAGACAACAATTTTAACCCCCTTTCAGTGGAATAAACGACGAAGTCTTTATGCTTTTGCAAAACGAGCCTTACGAAGAGTTTAAAATTAGGCCACGGCGCTTGCATTCAAGCAACTCAGCCAAGAAACAAGTTTTACTCTGTGACCCAGGGCCCAACTCGTGATCCAAACCGGATAGGGCGACCATGGTCTGGCTGTTAGTTTCGCAGCTGTAAGCTTGCCACTTTCCAGACATGGCTCCTCGATGTAGGGATTCTCATCATAAAGGTCCACCGTCAGGAACTGCTCCGTGAGGGAATAGACCAAGAACTTATGGGTTCCTTCCTCAGCGGGCCAGTCTGAAAGAACTTCAACCTCATCTCTTAAACCGCAAGGACTCTCTGCATCCAAGCTTATCCAAGATTCTGCTTCGCTCCACTGAGGATTTAGATTCTGAGGCCGCGTGGGCGTGCCTGCACCACAGAAGCTCGTTGATCTGACCCCTGAATTCTGCACTCTGCACAGCAGATCTGGGCCGAGACACGGAATGGCTTGCCACCAACTGCTACTAAGCAGTACGGGTCGGAGCCTCGAGTACAGAGATCATGGAATGCTCGCTCTCTCCTTTGCGCAATCCCGGCGACACACTGCGTTGCTTATCCAGCCGCTGGGTCTCGACAGGCCGAAAGGCAGCGCCACATCCTGACGTGGGAACCGACAGCATGAGACCGTGCAAAACAATGTCATGTGACAGCCAAGTCACCCTCAACAACATGACGCAGCAAACCAGCCAGTCTTCAAGTAAAAAGAGCAGCTTCTCTTCAACAAAAACCCAAGCTGAAACCAGTCATCGACACGTCGTAGCAGTCGCAGCAGCAGAAGCAATGGGAGTCTAGTAGTTGCAGTAGTAGTAGAGGCGACTACCCCCAATTCCAGGACACTACTACTGCTAGGGAGCTAGTGTATAGGAGGCTGCATTCCTACGCCAGCTGCTGCTGCTCCTTCCTTGACTATTTACCATCCCTGTGCCACGAGTACCATGCCCCTACGATTGTTGTCGAGACGATGCCGATCACGACCACCATTAGCACTTCCACGCTTGAAACCATTGCTATCAGTACCACTACAGACCAGTATACTGGTGCAGCTGCTGGTTCGATATGTTCGAGAAGTTACTAGTGATACAGTTGTAGTATGTGGTGTAGTTCTTGTTCTAACAACATGGGAAGACAGTCCCGTAAACGTGTATTGACACCTGACTTTGCCAAACACTAGCCTACATGAATACATTCAGTGATGGCAATGATGGTGGTGCTTGTTTTAACAGACGGCGCCTTGGCCGCCAGCCCACGAGCTCCATGAACGCAAACTGTCATGACACCCTCTGGGACCACGCCACCTTGTTCGGCTTCGCGCTCCGATTCCAGGGCACACCAGAACGGGTTTCAGAAGTGCTGTCGATGACATCGATTTCGGGGATGCTGTACGTGGTCGGAAGATGTCGTTCCAAGCGCAAGTGTTAGACAGGTGACATGTGCTTGCGAACTGCACTTCGCAGGAGACCGGGAAGCCTGACATTGAGGCACATTAAACTAGAGCAACTAGATAGGATCAGTTGATGCTCCAATAGACAACAGGCCGTTTGACTTTAGGAATCGCTGCTAGTTGCGAGACATGCAACTTTCCATCTCTAAACACCGACGGCCAAGCAGCCAGCTTCAAACCAGGCATCCTCGTTCGTAATGTCAAGCAAGACCTTGCCGTCTGCTCGTCTTCAAGAGGCGACAAGCAGGACCGACACCAGAAAGCCTACCAGGATTTACCAGCCCTCTGACCTGCCACCCCACTGACAGCACATGACATCACTATTGACTCAGGCAGGCTGCAGTGGCCACAGTTGGCAACACAATCTGCTCGGCCAGCTGCTTCCTCGTGCAAAGTTCAAACAAAAAATTCTTGTCAACTGCTGGACCACCGACTAGATGTGCAACAAGGCGATGAAGCCCAAAGATCAAACTATGACAAATTCCGCTTGTCGAGAGAAAAGCTGATTGCGCAGCTCGGCTAGGGTGCTGAATGATGTCGGCCAGCAGCTTCTCTAGCCACGCCAGTGACACCTGAAAGGATCCGTCATGAACCACCCTGCCTGGAAAGGCTCTCTCACGCTTCACATGCGCCGTAGCATCTGCTTCAAGGAAAGCGCAGCAGCGAGACTTGAAGACGACGACGTTGTGGGTGGAAGTACGTTATACAGACATAACAGACATGTCAGCGTTTGTGCCTTTGCAGTACGACTCTGTGCAGGCAAGCCACGCGCAAGCCCATGACAGTACCCTCCAGCGTCAATGCCACCTGATTCGATCAGGGCTACTGCGACGGCTACGACGAGCGAGCGACGGCTCAACATGCGCCCCTTCTCGAACAGTGTCGGCACATGCCTCGTCCAATCTGCTGTTTGTCTCAGTGGGTGTGTTTCCTCTGGTAGATAATTCGCTTGCCCAGGGTGCCGAGCACTGCACAGTGGCTTGCATCGGGCCACTTTGGGAAGGTCCGCGAAGTAAAAAGTGATGCCGGTGAAGAAAGGCGGCCTGCACTGTGGGACTTCTGCATCCGTCCACAGCAACAGCTGATGTAGCAAACACTTGTGCAACTTAAGTCAGTAGGTTTTCCGAACAGCTGTGACAGGCTTGCTGTGCGAAGCTCCCTGATCGTGCCTGGGCAGGATGTGCTGCAAACAAACATCCAAGCGGCCATTCACGAGCACATGCTCTGCAGAGAGAACCTAGTGAGGGCCGTAACTACGTTCGATTGCGTGATATTGCGTGCGAAGGCATGCTTTGCTGTTGCTACATGCACGTCATCACACATACCGTCTCCCACAGCAAAAAATCGCCGCGAATAGTCGACATTCGAAAATGTGATAGTGATGCAACCTACTGGCGTATTGAAGATTGGTGCAGAATCACTCGGACAGTAAAGACTACCTGGAGACCAAGAGACAGCTGTCGGTGCTGTCAGTGCCACATCCACATCGGCATCCCATGCGACCAGGCTCGAAACCTGGAAGACTGCATGCCTTCTGGAAGATCGGGAAAACGTTGAGCCGTGCTGATTTGACTGCATCTTGAAGAATTCGGTGACGCAAGTTCAGATTCTGATAGGAAGGATTTCGGCTGAGACATCTTCATGTCTGATGACAATTCTCTGCGGCTGTTCCTGCAAGGTTTTCCATAAGGCTGAGAAGGTTTGGCACAAACAGGTGCATCGTCTTTCGGCTTTCGATTGAGAAACTTTGAAGCTGCGCACTTCGCCGTCTTTGTGCGAAGTCTGCGTCGTCCGCTCCACATTCAGCCTTGGATTGAAGCTCACTCTTGCAATGCTGCCCTTCAGAAACCACGGCGCATGAATGTTTACAAAGTAGATGAGGTGTAGCGCTGGCGAGAGAACCACAATTGTAACAGTCCTTGAGTGGCCCGGCTGTGCAAACAAGAAGCTCTTCGACCTTCAGCGCCGAGTCTCCGAAGCTGATGCGACCAAAGCCCAGGCCTGCCAAGACCCAGGAGGGAGAGACCCAGGAGAGAGAGGGCGAGAGCGTTGGGTACTTTCAGGAGGGGAACCACCGGTCCAAGTCTTTCGAGTTGTGCCAAGTCAGAGGTCGATTCGATTCCAGGCCAAGTCGCTGCTGAGGAACCACGGCACTCGCGTCTGGATGGCTTCCTGTCATCTCAATTTCCGCTGGAAGGGCGGGATGGCGGCTAGTCCACCCGACAGTGGAATGAACCCTTGTTTGGGCACGCCTACACTTTTGTGGCCTCGACTGTCTCTTTAAGCACCGTTCGGATGAAGCTCGTGATCTCAGGCCACATCTCCTGCCGAGCATTCGTTACGCAGATTCCCTATCAGATCTGGTGTGCCGTGAGAAGCTGGGGTCCTGCACTGCAGTGTTGAGCAATGAGACCTCCGCAAAGTCGGCCGTAGAGTTGCCTTCGTGACCGGATATCACACGTCATGTCATGCCTGCGTGGTGTCAATGGAGGTCAACTTTCGTGGGGGAGTTTGGAGTCGCGTCGCTGATCTCAAAAATCAATGTCTTGAAAGAACCACAATCGCACGTCTTGCAGGGGAGGCACCGGAAGGAGTTTCCTGGGCTTCTCCACCCGGTGCTGCCTGCACCTGCAGGGACAGCTCCATGCCGAATCTTGGGTCGAACCTGCATGACTCTGGAGACGGAATCGTTCAAATCGAGAAGCTGCAGCATCCTCACGCGGTCTACTTCGAGGATGAGTGGCTGCGAAGACAAAAACCTGAGAGACAGAACCGTCGCCCTCTCGGGACCTCTGTGCATTTATACCAGCTTCGGAAAAGGAAACCTCGACCGATCTCGGCAGATGCTTGGCCGAGAAGCAGAGATGGCAGCAGCCAGCAGAAGGCGAGGCACGTTGGAAGCAAACACCTCAATGAGCTCTTAAGCAAACACTGAGCTTTGAAGGGAGATCGCCAGCCTACGGTCTACCACAGACATTTGATCCCCAACAACTAGGTTTTACTATCAGACCTTGGAGGTGTAAGGGAGGCTCCCCGCCTGCTAATTTCATCTTTCTTGTCGAACGGCTCGGACACTCGTGCACAGCATCACACAGCCCAAGAGCACCTAGCTTCCACGCACATGGTATTCGTAAGAAATATTTTCACTTTAACAAACGTTTGCTTCAATCAATTGCATGCGATTGCATCCTTTGACCTCTGAGCCTCTTTCTTTATGTCAAGCTCTGGTGCCGTTGCGTTCCAGCCCTTACTCAGGAGGTAAGTGCCAGCTAAAACTTGACCGTGCCATCACGTCAAACAGCCAAGCAGTGAGGCGCGGACGAAACTTGTCGCGCTGAGTACCAGTGGCCTGAGCTCTTGGATCTTGTCAAGATTCTGGCATCTGCAAGTATCACTGTAAGACTACACAAGCCTGCGCGAACACATCCGAATGAAATTTGGCAGTGCCCGTCCGATCTGTGCGGCTTGGCTACCCGGTCAGGTCCCTGATGATCATGAGGAATCCTGCATTCAGGCGTGAAATGGCGGACGACTCTGATGGCAGGCTTTGAATGTACAATCGTCCTTCCTAGCAGTACATTATAGTTGTAAACGACCTTCACGCTGACCTGGTTTTTCTAACACGAAGCCAACGGCTAAGGAATGGAAAGCTACCTCGAGATGTCCTCTCTGTAGTTCTGCGCTAGCTTTTCTGAAGTGCGGCGAACAGAGCGGCCGACTCGATTAATGATGCAGCAATGCCGATATCAACAAACAGGCGAGCAAGAGAATTGCATTCAAAGAGAACTAGTATACACATTAGTTATACATAACCCATATAACCAAACACAGGCTCACACTGTATATATATATACCTGTGTCACCAAAACCGTTGTAAATAATTGGTCTTTTAGAAAGGGTGCGTAAAAATTAGATTCAGAACGAAAGGTGCGTAATTAGCGTAATTCTGTGTAAAGCTTGGAAAACCTGCTGCCCGGCATCGACCTGTTTCCTCAGAACCTTGCAAGGTAGTGTGTGCATGCACAGTTTCAGGTCCCATGCTCCTAGAGTAGAAGCATCATATCTGGGAAGAGTGTTAGGTTCGTATGCCATATATCGTGCATATTAGCCGACAGATCTAGATTCTCGCCAATACATTCGAAATCTGCAGTCTTACTTGTGGGCTACAGATAAACATGATTTCGATGCGATTCCATGGTGTGCCCGGGTGCCGAGCCCTTCGCTTGGATGTGCAACCGGCAAGCTTATATGTCTTTGTTTCGATTGTGGGTGCTAGGGTTCGTCCTGGGGAACTCAGTGTTTATGGCAGGATGGACCGTGGTGACCGAGCTGTTCTCTTGGGTCTTTGAATCAGTACGAGGTGCCCTTGGGGACTTGAAGGATATTTTGCACGATGAGCGGGTGATTCTTTGTATTTTAGGCCCTCTGGTGCTGAAGCTGAATGCCCTCAGCATGCGTGTGCGCCGGCTAGATTTGGGAATGTGGCTCTTGGTGCAAACCAAAACCTCCCTTGTGCCAGGTCAACGACTCCATGGCTGAAGAGCTCGAGCCAGGCTGTTTGGGGATAGTTTTGTGCAATCAGGTCGGGTGTCGTGTATGTCAGGTCACAACCT